ATAAAATATTGTTTAAAACATAGATACCAAGTTAATATTATAGGGAAGAAAACACTATAAAATAGAATGGAACAGCTACGGGTTTATGATGTACAGTAGTGATATTGATTATAGATTTTCCTAAGTACTTGAGAGCAGCCACACTATTATATATGCCTCTGATTAGACCCAGAGATGAGAAGGAAAAAGTTATAAAAAAAGAAACTAACCAGGGGAAGGCCTGCTGCTATAATAAATTATTTAAAGCCAGCGGGGTGAGCAGGTTGTGAAGACAATATAAAACAGAATCAATGCCCCCAAGAAACCCCATACCATCCACACCTCCATAAATTTCTCACCGCTCTGTCTGGCATTTTACTAGAGGTATTTCTTTCCCACATGCTCCCCATCCCACCCCCACCCCGACCATTCACTTTTGGCCCAGTTCTTTTCTCAGAGCTTAACATTGTTTTTTCTTGTGTAACCCAGGATCTGTTGTCTTCAATTATGTTTTTCCGCTTGTATTAGGAGTGTCTGTGAGGCCACAGATGAATGCATCTGTCACTTCATTCATCTGGATCTTAAATTTCTCAGTGACACTATAAGCTGGGGATATCTAACATGATACACATATCAACCTGACTCTAATATCATTCTTTACCTTTTTCTATTTTCTTACTACTGTTATCGTTAAATTTACAAAGCTAAAACTACAGTAAAATTTCTCCAGTTCAATGACTGCTCTCTATTACTAGACCCAAATTCAACAGCAAAAGTAGGAGCCTGAAGGGGTATTGAGAAGCAGTTTTAAAATGGCTAAAATTTAAGTATTAGGAGACATTAAGAAAACAGATTGACTTGAAAAGTGAATTTTTTTACCAGTAGATTTCACCATGGGAATAAGGGTAAGAAAAGAGTAAAAAACTTGAAAAGACTTTTTCAAATGAAAGTTAGATGCCAGAAGTATGCCATGGCAAAAGAAAAAAAAATTAGTGTTACAGAGAGGCTTGCAATGACCTATGGCCCAGTTTCAAGAAAAGCAGCATTCTATTCTAGGTGCTTTTTTATTTCTTTTTAAACTGGGCACCAATCAGGGCCATTGTATGATCAGGAGCTGTGGCATACCTCAGGATTTTCAACTTTAAGTGCATCAAATCATGCTGAAGCCAGGCAAATGAAATATAAATAATGGTGTCTTACCACTGCAAAACCATTTGCAGCATAACCTGACTATACAAAAAAACAGCACTGGGTTAAAATACAGGTCCAAAGAATTCTTCAAGTAGTCTTTACTCCTGTCCTGCTCTACGACCTTTAGCAAATTATTTGCCTCTCTAAGTCAAGGTTGGCTGGTTAAGGAAGGAGTTATTGAACCAATTATCATATATAGTGGTTAACTTTATAAAGAAAACTGTTACAAAGTCATATTCAATATAAGAAAAAAATGAAAAAAGGGTTAACTGTAGATAATATGAATGACTAACCATAAGCTTATTGTATCACCACACTACTAAATAAAAACAGTTCAAAACATAAAGCCAACTTCTCAGTTGTTGGTGTCATCTTTGAGTATGACAGACAGGATCTAAATATCCTTTTGTAGCTGCTGTTTGCTCATCTGAAACAAAGTGGGGAAAAATCATTATCCTCAAAAGATTGTTAAGAAAAGTGACCTATCAATATGCCTACCAAGTGTTTCTTTAAACAGAAATTGCTCCATAAAAGTCCCAGTGATGATCCAATGGTTTGGAACAATCCAAGTTCAATGCCCCAGCATAGCCATGTTCCCTTGTCATCAGAGAAGTAAAAATTCTGGGTACTTCTAGCCTCTGTGAAGTCATTTGGTTCTTTTGGTACCTGAACAGTAGCAAGAGGGACAACTTCTGATAGATCCATTCTCTTTCAAATCTTATTTAAGACTTTTATATGGAGAATTATGCCAATCTGACATGGAAGAACAGATTCCAGATGTCAATACCAAACAATAAATAAAAAACTAATTGGTAACAATAAATCAAAATCCACACTGATTTCAGTGAAAAGAGAGTTAGCAATTCTCAACCCATTCTCTTTGATAAGAAAATTCACCCAATTAATTGGACAGCTCAAAATATTTCTAAGGTGATTTTCAGAAAAGAAGTTTCCCTGGCCTCAAAGGTAGGTAGCTGGAGACATTTTGCTGGCTGACTGAAGAGCAGGCAAGATCTTCCCAAGGAAATACCTGACTTATACTCATCTATACTAGCTTGGCAGAAGTGTATACTGTGGTGAGAATCCCAAGCCTGCAGTGGCTTTAAAAAAGACAAAGGTGTCTTCTCTCCTACCCTCAGGAAAAAATGACCAACATCTACATTACAGCTAGCCAAGTCATCCCAGAGCTTCCAAGGAACCCACTGTATTGGAAGTAGGTGTGAAGAGGCCAAAATTAGGGAGGGGTCTCAAACTATCTTGCTTTCAAGACTTCCTTAGACTTGGGGCCAATCTGGAATTAGGAAAGCTAAAGATTCTTAAACACCTCCAAACGCAGGACAAAAGGGGACCACTGTTGTGGAAAGAGAATTAATGCATTACAGTACCTATAAATTTCACAAGGTCAGTAAGTGCCACCTGGAAATTTCTGAATAATTATTTGTTAAATCAATTCAGGGCCTGTGTTCTTTTATATCATAAACACCAATCCAGTATTTCCTGAAATATGGTTTGCTGATGTGAGAATCATTTGGGGGTGCTTGTTGAAAATGCTGTTTTCTAAGTCCTACCCAGACCCCAGAATTGAATCCCTAGGACTGGAGTTCAGCTCAAGAACTGAATTTCTTGAAGAAACTCAGTAGACTTGGATGATTCATATTAAAGCCAAAGAATTATTGTGTCTATAGAACTCATCACAAATTTAGACACACATATATTAGGAAATCTGTATATTTTCTAAAAAAAAATTTATGTACCATAAAAATAAAAATACGTTTTATGATGAGTTAAAACCATTCCAGTTTATTCTGCCCACATATAATGAACATCACTGTTAACATGTAGTTACCAGCATAAAATTATTTGAAAACATCAAATATGCTTCTCAAAAATACTGCCTTTATTGTTATCCAAAGTAATTATGCTATTAAAATAATTAATAATTTTTTAAAAATATCAGTCATGTGGCTGCAGGAACTTATTAAGCAGTTATACTCGTCCCACATCCTTTTAATCATCAAAATTTTTGTGATAATGTCTTTTTATTATTTTAAAACTACAAATTGTGAACTATCATGACTAATAACTAGGCTTAATATGAATTTATGTCCAAGTTATAAATTCTATGTTTCATTAGAATTACTAAGGCATTCTTAACACTAGTCTCTGCAATAAAGCTCTGTTTACTTCTATTAAAGTGGTTTTTTTATGGGGGGGGAACAATTCAATTTTAGTGCATTCTCTTAAGAAGCAAAAGAAAATAGTTCTGATATACACAAAGCAGTAAACCAGTATTGCTTGATGATGTGACAAGCACATTTTTCCCCACCATGGGATTATTTTTTCTCCTATAACCCCTCATCATAGCTATAATTATTTCACAAAATACAATTTGCCATTTCTAGAGACAATATTCCACTCTACCTTTCTTTTCATCCAAATCACAAGTTCAGGCTAAATAATGAATGAAAATAGAACTTGAGAGGCAGGCTTTGTTTGTGGCATGTTGTTTCTGCTGAGGGTTGCCCCTACCCACTCTCCACCCCAGGGCTGACTGAAGTGTACATGTTATGTTTTAACAGATGGGCGGGCTGGCGGGTGCTGGGCTGCCAAACAGGAACTCGGAATCTGCACCAAGTGGTATTGAACCGAATGCTCGTAAAGTTCATGGACATAACCCTGACCCAGACAGACCAGGCAGATGCAGACATGCTCACACATACACGCTTACCACACCACCACCACCGCCCCCCACCCCACCCCCAGCTCAGAGGGCTCATCTCTGTGACCAGGGGAAGTTCAAGGCTGAGCTGCCCTGCATATATTTCTACCTCATTCACCTATTAATTTTACATATACAAATACATACGCATATATATATATTGCACATCCACATATGCATTTACACACATAGAAATATATTATATATATATCAATGTTTCATCTTTTCCAAATATCTAAATATTCCCAAATTTTAGACCCAAGGTTTTCTCTAGTACTCTCAACAAGCTTTCATTCATGTCAAGTAAGAATGATATCAAGGAAGATAATATCATGCTGAATTCTATTTAGTCCACACATAATATAAACTGCATGTATGTAATTGCCGTTAGAAAAACAAGCTGATCTTACCATTAAAAGCAGCCAGAACAACCTAACTCAGGGCCACTCACAAAGGAAGTGTCAGGTTTAACCCTGACTCTTCTGTTGTCAGTTCTTAAAAACTCCATCCCTTAAACACACAGGTGCTCAAACACACCCACCACCCGCCTCGCCTCGGCCTCCCCGGGGCTGAGCCCCGCCATGGACAGCTGCTCCCGGTCCTGAGGAAGCCCCGGGACGCACCTAGCGGGTGGGCCAGTAGGGGCGCCCAGGAGGGCGCAGACTCAGGCACTGATGGAAAGTCATTACTTTGCAAAGTTTAACGTCCAGCATGCTGTCAACTGCTTTCAATCCACAAACTACCGAGGACCCCCGCTCCGCGCCCGTTGCCCACCGCCTCCGTGGCCCTGGAGACTTGGGAACCCAAGGAGCAGTCGCCACCGGGCCGACACCGACGCGGGTCCTGAGGGTCGCGACACCGATCGCTCACGGCGCCGGTCGGCGCGGCCCGCAGAGGGTAGGGACGGCCCCAGTCGGTGCGGACGGAGCTGCGTCCCGGGCCAGCCCGGACGCTCTGAGAAGATAAGTTCGGGCGCGAGGACCTGGGCTCCGAGTCCCTCCGCCCGCCCGGACCTCCCACGGCAGCCGCGCGGACCGCCCGGCCGTCCAGCGCCGGGACGCGTCGTTCCCTGGCTCGCTAGTTGCGCCGCGGCGACGCGGAGGCCACTCACCCTTCCTGCTGACTCTGGGTCGCCAACCGACGCTCTGCCGCAGGTCCTCGGTCCCAAGTTGTCCCGAACCGGTGGCTGCTCACGCCCCAGCGAAGCAGGGCACATCGGCTCGGGCAGGCACCTCAGGGTAGCGCTGCAGAAGCCCGGCACCCGCCCCGCTCGGCAGTCGCCTGGAGTGCGCTCACAACTCACGGACCTGCTCAGCGACTGGAGCGCAGCGCCCGGCGGAGCCTAGCAGGCTCGGGAGGGGGCGGGGGTCTAGCCGCGGGAAGGGGGCGGAGCCAGATCCGGGCTCGCCCTGCAGGGCGGGGCGTTCATCAGCCCCTGACTGGCAGAACCCGGAGCCAATTGGGGTGGCGCCCTGGCCCGGGGCGGTGGTGGGTGGTGCCTACGGTCGGGACCCGCCCCGCAGCCTCTGTCCAATCGCTTGCGGCCGGGAGCTGGCTGCAGAGAACTGGCAGCTGCGGGGAAGTTGGTTACTGCGGGGAGAGCTGGCTGCTGGCTGGTGCAGCGGGCCCTGTGGTAATGGGACCTGGACGCCTCCGGAGGGTGGCGCGGCCGGGAAGGCCCCTGGCTGGGAGAGGTCGTGAGCCCAGAGCCTTTGCTGGTCGGCGGGCTGTGGAGCGGGAAACCCAGCCGGAGCGCTGAGTGTAGAGACAGGGTCGACAGCGCCCGTTCTTGGCGCCTGCTGGAGGCGCAGAACTTGGCTTCCCCAAAGGAGCGCCAGCCGTCGGAGGAAGCTGAGGACCCAAAGACAGTGAGTCCCAGGCCGGGTCCTGCAACCACTGGTGAAGGCCTGGGCCGAGGACTGAGAACTCTTGATCTGAAGGTGATCTCCAAAACAAAACAGCGGCGCCATAAGCCACCTGGAAAGTTCAGTACACGTCCCCCACTCACCCTAGTCCTCCGCACTGCCACAGGAGACCATATCAAAAGCCATGATCGCCTCTTCCCCACCTAGACGTCCGGATACTTGCTCAAAACAGAACAAAATGGGAGGTTCTGGCTCAGAATCAGAGAGACCCTCGCCCTGGGCCGCTACCCCTTCGGAATGGCATCCGCAGAGGGGTGCTTCCTCTGCTTCGGCTGCTGTGTTCTGGTTGCTCTGGGATTCGGGAAGGGCCAGAATCAACTATCTTCGTAGACCAGAAGCATCAGAGTTAGCCACATCTATCCCACTCTGCACTTCTGCCCTCTCCCCCTTCGGAAGGGAGGCTGGGTTAAAGACGTTGAGCCAGCTCAGAAATAGAGATAATAGGCCTTACCAGAACCTGTTTGTGTTCTTGGGATCACCAGAGACCGAAGAGCCGTGGGAGATGGATTCATGAACTCTGCCCACTCAACTGTCTAGGTCACTGGAGCTGCTTGCTTTCTTGGAGATTGGTCTTTTCAGCCAGTTTTTAAAGCCTTTACCCTGGGTGCAACACACACACACGCACACACACACACACACGCAGCTGTAAATGTAGAATCGAAAGCAGAGGGTTTGACCTTTTTGCAACTAAGGCCTAGAATGTGCTCCAGTGAGTAGGGCCTCGATGCCTGGAACTGCACCTGCCATAGTTAGGCACTCAGCCCATGTTAGCTGAAATCCAAGAATGCATGACAAGAAAGAGGCCACATTTTTGGCACCCTAACACTTTACCCACACACCCTACCCTCCCTCTTGCTTCTAGCTCCCAGCTCTTTAGATCATTGTCTCTTTCAGATCCAAAAAGTCCTAAAACATAGCCAACTGTTCACACATGAAAGTACAGGTGTGATTTCAATGGCTAGCTGGCCTCCGTAGAGTCTTGGATTATAGCTGACCTCTCATGACAACATCCTGATGAGGTCACCATGCAAAAGGAAGGCAAAGGGTTGGCCTTTGACTGGAAAGGAGTGAAATGGCCCCTGTGACCTGATTGGGTTTCAACTTTGTCTCTTCAGCACTCTTTCTCAGTGGAGAAAGGTCCATAGGCAGACTGCCAGAAGGACAAGAAGACGACTTGGAATGACTCTGAAAAGAGAGATTGAAGATGATATCAGAAAATGGACAGACATCCCCTGGTCCTGGGTAGGAAGGATTAATATAGTGAAAATGGCCATACTTCCAAAACTGCTATATAGATTTACTGCAATTCCAATTGAGATCCCAGCAGCATACTTCGTAGACCTTGAGAAAACAATCCAAAAATTCATTTGGAACAAGAAGAGACCCAGAATAGCAAAAGCAATTCTAGGTAACAGAGACATGGCAGGGGGTATCACAATCCCCAACCTGCAACTCTACTACAAAGCTACTGTGATAATAATAGTATGGTACTGGCAAAGAAACAGACCCGAGGACCAGTGGAACAGATTAGAAGATGCAGAAACAACACCAGACACACTCAGCCATCTCATCTTCTATAAAGGAGCCAAACACCCTCACTGGAGGAAAGATAGCCTCTTTAATAAGTGGTGCTGGAAAAATTGGGTTTCAACTTGCCAAAGATTAAAACTAGACCTGTATCTCTCACCATGCACTAAACTAAAATCGAAATGGATTAAGGATCTAAATATTAAAATAGAAACGCTGAACTGGCTGGAACAGAGGTTAGGTAGGACTCCTGAAGACATTGGTGTAGGAAAAGATTTTATGAACAAAACCTCAGTTGCCTGTGAACTAGCACAAACAATCAACAAGTGAGATCTCTTCTTATTAAAAACTTCTAGTGTGAAGTTTTTTAATAAGCAATGTGAAGAGACAACCCACAATGTGGGAAAAAAATTTCACTAGCGGTCCCTCAGAAAAAGGTCTACTAGCTCAAATGTATAAAGAAAAAAAAAATCAGACCTCCCCAATTTAAAGACCCAATCTGAAAATGGGCATCTGAAATGAACAGACATTTCTCAGACAAAGAAGTAGAAATAGCAAATAAATGAAAAAGTGTTCAACATCATTGGTCATTTGAGAGATGCAAATGAAAACAATGCTGAGATTCCATCTCCAGAAAGAATGGCTGCTATGAAATCAACCAATAACAAATGCTGGTGGGGCTGTGGGGAAAGAGGGACCCTGGTCCACTGCTATTGCAGCCACTGTGGAAATCAGTATGGAGATACCTCAAAGATCTAGGACTGGAAGTCCCATTTGAGCCCGCTATTCCCCTGCTGGGTATCTTCCCCAAAGAATTAAAAGAATCATACCACAGTGATATATATGCACCCATGTTCATAGCAGCACAGTCTGTAATAGCTAAAACTTGGAAACAGCCCAAATGCCCATCAACTGGAGACTGGATAAAGAAAATGTGGGTTGTTTTTTTTTAATAAAATGGAGTCCTACTCAGCCATAAAAAAAATGAGAAATTAGAGACATTTATAGTTAAATGGATGCACATTGAGTCGATACTCTTAAGTGAAATAAATAGGACACACATGTGTAAATACCGAATCATTTCTCTAGTGTGTGAAACTGAAAGTGTAAATAAGGACTAAAAGGTATAATAGATAAAGTGAAATAGGAAGAAAAGTGGCCACGGGGAAGGGGAATTGTGAGGGGTAGGGGAAAGGAAAGAAGGGAATGGAATTAATATGAGAAAATGAAAAAATGGAAACAAAGTCTTTGTAAATAGGGAGGGATGGAGGGGTTGAAGGGAGGGCAGGGGAAGAGTGAAAAATAAGAACCAAGAGAGATTATGTAAAGGTGCAAATTTCCAATGATGAATGTCACTATATTGTATACCTAAAATGTACCAATAAAATAAAATAAAGAAGACAACCTGGAAAGTCCTTGGTAAGACCTAAAAAATTGGTCAGTGATGCCTAAATTGCATGAACTTAAACACACCATTCCCTAGTGAACCAAAGGACTAGTAGAAGTGTGGAATACCATCCTATTTAATTCCAGAACAGGTACAGATGAAGAACACCATCTCATTTGATCCCAAGTGTTACTCAATATACTATACTGCTGGATGGCTGAGAAGAAAGGCCTGTGTCTACAAGGAATTGTATGTAGATAACATGAATGGAATATACATTAAGTCTCTGTCCACACTGAGATGGAGGTAGGGACAGGGCTGGAGGTTCTAGACAATAGTAAAGAAAGCCCAGGAAAAGCTACTTCCTAACCTGGTTCTGGCAGTATGTTAGCTTTCTGTCACTTTGACAAAATGCCCAAGAAAGTCAACCTAAGTAAGAAGGGTTTGTTAGGGCTTATAGTTTCACAAGTTTCAGTACACGATTGCTTGATCGCTTTTGACCCATGGCAGCACAGTACATCATAGTGGAAACATGGGGTGGAACAAACTGTTTACCTCATGACAACCAGGACACAAGGAGCAAGAGGAGAGTCTGGCTTCCCAATATCCCCTTCAAGAGCACACCCCCACTTTTCCACTAAGCTCCTTTTCCTAAAGGTTCTACCATATCCCAGTAGTTCCACAGGCAGGGGATCAAGCCTTCAACACATGAGCCATTTGGAGGACATTTCAAGATCCATACTATAGCAAGCAAGAAAACTTCACTGGATCCATTTTTTAAAAAAATTGTGCTGTTCTGTTTGCTTTCATGAACTTCTATAAACCACTCCATGGAAATTTGCCATGAAACATATTTGACTAGAATTATCAGGAAATTCTCATGGAAGAAATATATGTCCTTGGATTTTTCCCCACACTTCTGGATGTAACTAGTGAAGAAGTTTGCCAATACTGCATATAGTCATACCCTGTGAGGGTTTTTAAAAAAATATACAGATACTAATGATTATTTTTTATTTGTATTTATTTATTTATTTTTTAAATAACCTTACAAATAGGAGCCAAGCACTGGCTGGTAACTGTATTTACTGTAGTATTTACTTTAGATAAGAAAAAAAGGAATAAGAGAAATTTCTTTTTGTGATGTAAGTTAGAATTAAACAGGTGACTTTCATATCCTGATTTCCAAGGTTTTCCATTTGTTTCATGCAGACATGTTCATCCATGTTTCTTGGACAAGTAACAGTTTTCATTTTCTGTTGTATAGTGGATGACATGGAAAACACTACACATTCGGGCTACATTCATATTTCCACACCACCTTTTGTGGTAATTAGTTTCCAACAAAAGCATATCCCTTGGATACAAATCATATTTCCTTGGTTGGTAGTTCCCCTAATGCTCTTTTGAGTTTGGGCCATCCTGACACTCTGTAAGGGAAAATGAGATCTATTCCTAGTGCAAGAACTCATACTAATACTAGCTGTATGAAACAAATTTAAAAACC